ACATTTTTGTCACTGATGTCACTCTGCATAAGCCACGTTTTCATGCCTGTAGTGTACTCAAGGGGGCACTATTGTGTAGGCAGCATGTTTGCCTCATACTGACTCCAAGGGCATAAAACAAAGGGTATTATGAGAACCAACACAATTGACTGCCAGTCAGTCCAGGTACTTTGTAAATATCAAACTCAATGAATTTTTTGACAAACTTTCTTTTAAGCCCATCTATATATCTTTTCATTTCATTTTTACATGCTTATTCATGTTTGCTATCCACATTTTCCCATTTTTTTTCTTTTCTAATCTTATAATTCAGACTATGTCTTGAAACTCTCAGATGATGCTCACATACCTTAGACGTAGTATGCATTTGCCTATGGTTGTATGTATCTTTGCTATTTTATGGCTTTCATCTTGAAAACAAGAGAAAATGACTTTGTAAAAATCACTGCAGAAGCAAACTATAAAGAGATGTTCCTCCAAAACAGGAGTGAGAATTTCAGTCTGCTGAATGAAAAGCTGAAAAGTAGAAGAAGAACCTGCTTCATGTTTTGAATAAAAAAAAGAGAATCACTCATTTGTTTAATCGTAAAAAGTATTTTTGTATGATGCATTGATTCTAAATGAAAAAAGTCCTTATGAATTGTTGTTTGGCACAGATTTGAACCACAAAGCCACAAAACTCTGTGCTTTTTCAGTGCTGCTGTTAATAACTGCTTAGCAATTCCATGATTATACATGTGGTTACAATGCTACATGGCTCTTGCAAAAGGACAAACTCCTGCACTGCTTAAACTGATTGTGTCTTTCATCCTAGTGAACTGTTGAGCTTGAGCCTTGCTTCAGTGTATAACCCTTAAGTAAACTTGTTTATTCTCTCAGCGCTCCTGTTAAACCGGGTTGCTGAGCATCCTGGTCAGTCTGGGCAACGGTTCACATAACAACATATTTGAGTGACAGGAAATAGAAAGTTTTCCATTGTTGCAGTGTAGGTGTAGTTTTCAAAGTGAAGGCAAGATGGTAGTATCAAGAAATTACTCTTGGATTAAAGTTTCCTTAAATCTGTGTGAAAGTAAATCTAATAGAAGAGTGCTCATCTCTCCCACCCTATCCTTAAACCAGGACTGGAAAACAGCCATCAATCATGATATTTTTGTGTGGATGAGTACATTCACAAGTCTGTCAAATGAATTGAAAGCAGTGTTGAAATCAGGAAACAAAAGTGGTAAGTATATTTTTAAATGTTAATGAACAAGCACTATGTGATGATGTGACATTATCATGACACATTCCGTGTGGTTTCTTTTGGCTTGGACCATTTCTGTGTGGGAGAGGAAATGGTTTTATATTTCAGACTATATGTGAGACAGGACGGCACCGCTTTGTCTATTATCTTTTAGCTCTGGCTCATATCTATTCTTGCAGGGACACATTTGCTAGTTGATGGTTATGACAGACAGACCAAAATAAAGACACCATCCCTTGTGATGATGTTGAGACTAAGGAAATTATAGATTAAAAATTAAAATGACCAAATTGTTAAAAAAAAAAAAACGATGTGGTGTGACTGGGGATGAACTCAGCATCCTAAACTAGAACTGGGCTGTAATTCTGTGGATTGTTTGTGTGTTTGTTAGTTTATCTTGGCCTACCAGAGCAGATCTGTACATTATGTGAACCAGAGGCACTTGGCTCATAATTCACATCCAGACACATTTATGTGCAATATCTACAACGGCAACTTATGTAGTTAATTATAACCTTTGAGATAAAGAATGAATCAGTTGTGTTTGCATATGAAAAGCATCCGTTTGCAGGAGGGATTACGGGTCCTATGTTTATTTCAAATTAGAATGTGTATTTGGATGTTGTTAGCAATCCACCTTCAATTCTTTACTCATTTGCAAACAGTCAGAAAAGTAGTTTGCATCACAGAGTGAAGACAAGCTTAAAGGGGAGTTTTGGATAGGTTTCAAATGAAAGCAAACCGGTAGAGCTGAGTAGCCACAGTAGGGTCCATTCTCCTCCAACATCAGAATATCTCAAAAATCATGTTTTTACAAGATTTTGACAAAAAATGAATGGTACAGGTGTGGAGCTGAATGTGTTTTTTTCCTCATTGTCACATCTGGTGCAACCTGCTGTGAGCTCAGTCTTGATGATTTTGACAGCTGTGTCTTTTGTTTGATGGGCTTGCCAGAGTTGTCGGTAAGTGAGGTGTCAAAAAAATGTCCTGTTTGTTTGTGTGGAGTGTGTGAGTCTGTAATACTTGTCTCTTGTACTCCCCAAGGGGATAGCACACCTTTCTAACTGACTTTGGCAATTTGCCACCCAGATAGTTAATGAAAAACCTTTAAGTCATAGTTGAATTGAGGTTAATCTATCTATCTATCTATCTATCTATCTATCTATCTATCTATCTATCTATC